TTTTTTTTCCATTTCAGCAGTACCTAATGAACTAACTATAAATTTACTGAGAATGTTCCCTACTCTCGGGTTCCAATTTATTATAAATTAAATGTCTTAATACCTTCTGGTTAATTCTATGGGCCTTTAAAAATGCAGCCCCCTTTACTTTTTTTAAAAAAGTAAAATTGTGTGTAATTTGAAGTGGCTGGAATAAGTCAGGTAAAAAATTTTTTAAATCACCACTAATTGCAAGGTTTAATTATTATTTAAACTTCTCACCGAGATTTATCATGCTTTATCTCAGGACGTAGGAAGTCGTGGAGAGCCATGATCGTCTGGCTATTGTTGCTTTAAGAAAAATTTGACTCTACTATTTCTCGTTGTCCCTCTTTTGCCATCCATTCACCCCAATTCATTAGGTGGGTTACCTGTTGCTTCTGCAGGGTCTACCTAGATTAAGTGAAAAATTAAAATCTGAGTGTCATGTCTACAAATGCAATATAACGCGAAGATTGGAATAATCATATATTTATGTACATATTAACATTTGTTTTCCCATGGTAAACGTTGCGTTTGTTCTGGTCGTAAAAAAATCAAAGTTCAAAAGTTTGACAAAGGGTAGTTTGTAAAGTCATGCCTGGGTCAATATAAAGTGTATGTGTGTGTATATATATATATTCCTGAGGTGAGGTATTATGTACACTATTTACATTATCGGACTATTTTGGCCATTGTACACTCCAGGTGGTTGGAATGTCAAACTGAACCATTTATTTCACTAGACTGTTCTAGTTCCACATGCCATGTCTAATGGATGTCAGTGAATTCTCCTCTCCAAGTTCTCCACTGCCTTATCTGGGTATTGAACTCACACTCTTTGGGTCCTGTCACTGGATCTAACCAACACCTTTATCCACTGTGCCATGTGTCCTTAAGGACATCTGTGCATGAATTTCTGGGTATTATAAACCTAATGTCTTCAGCAACCCGGTTTTCACCAGTGCTCATATTGCAATTTTTGCCGTTATTATCGCTTTTCTCTGGCACTCTTTATTACTGGTTCCCATATTGTATTCATTTCTATGCTTGGTCAGCTCAGGAGATTTTTGTGGCCTAGCATATGCGCTGATTCCTTAAGTTTACGAATTTTACAATGGTGTTCTTTGTCTATGATCTCAACCTGATCCCACAGAGGGCAGTGATCTCCCTTTTCTCTCCATATGTGGTCAGCCACACCTGATTTTTCAACTTCTTGTGTTACAGTGGTTCCAAAAGGAAATTGTCAGTTTTTTTCCACAGCTATAAATATTTCTTTGAGTTGTGTGAATATTTCTTTGAATGATGTGTTGTCAGGGTAACAAGAGAATTCTAGTCAGATGTTTGCAGGTCCATTTGTGAGCTGGACATCTTTGCCATGTGTGTTTATTGCTCCCAAAATTTGTATGTAATATACATATATATATAATGTGTGTGTGTGTGTGTGTGTATTTAGGCAGCAATCCTTCTTTCATGCACATTTCATTGAATACGATAGTGCTTTGATTTAATTTTTTATACAATTTCTCATGCAATCTAATAATGTTTTTTAATTTTCAGATGATAAATTATATAAAAACTGTCTGAATGTTCTTTTAACCTGAAAGGAAAATGGCTAAATGTATAGCCAAAAGTGCTCTGATTAAAAGAACATTCAGTTTTTATATAATTTATCATCTGAAAAGAAAAAAATTATTGCATGAGAAATTTTATTAAAAAAAAAATAAATCAAAGCGCCTTGTCTGTTGCATTCAATGAAATGTGCATGCATATATATATATATATATATATATATATATATATATATATATATAGTTATCCTCATCATGTGATTGGCTCCAAACAAAAGCTTTTCAGATCAAATGGGATAGCAACCAGTGACCAGTTCATTTGGAGTTCAACTGTATGGACAGTTAAAAGCATAGCAGATGACTGTACTGTCCAATCAAATTTCAGAAACTCACTTATTTAATTTTGGATCCTTTTTCATTTTTTTTTTCTTTTTTGATTTGTATAAACGTTTTTCTTTTAGTGATTCTGATCCTATTTATGTGTGGGCATTTATTTATTTGTGCTTCATCTATTGGTTGTAAAATAGGATTTTATATCCTGTACTTCCCTCTTCCCCTTGAATAGTCCTGGGAGTGTTACATTTTTCAAGCTCTTTTCTTGTGTCCCAAAAAGTTCAAAAGATATGTTGCTCACATTTTCTGTCCATGATATTTTCACTGTAGAAATACACAGTTGTCTCTTCTTCGTTTGTAAGGAAATTGTGCATCACACACTCCTCCTATACAGGAGGACAGATATGAAAGTTCTGGACTATTTTCTTTGGATTTATTTTTTACTTAACAGAATTTTTCTGTCTTAATACTTTGCTTAGTTTCTGAAAAACCTTTTAATATTCTGACACACTTTCAATTCTTGGTGTCACATTTTCTGTCATCTGTTACCCATGTATAAGTGTACCTCAGATATAGTGCAACCCCTGAATTTTTTTATGAAAAACCTGATCTTTTTCATATAAATTGGGTAAAATGTGACCCCAACTTCTATACAATACTATCAGGCCTACCATAGTCAGATATTACAGTACTGGGCATCACTCTTGACATATTTTATAGCACATAAATGGTCTTCATTCTTTCTTTGTACACAGCTACTCCAAAATAGAAGAAAAACCACTTGGGGTAAAATATTTGATATGAAGGTTTAGAGATTTTTTATTTTTTTTCCATTCCTGACTATGGTAGCCTCTTTTGTTGCTACATGAAGAGCAAAAGCCCATTGATTATGTATGCCACTTTACATTATACAAATGAAGAAATAGACTTTTTTTTTTTTCAAAAATTTGCATTCATCTTCGTTTAACAAGTGTTTGCATCACTGAGGTATTGCTTTTCCAATGATAACCTTTCTTTCAAGATTACTGGTACTTAATGCAAGGTATCTCACAGGTTGAGGTACATACTTCAGATTATGATAATTCAAGTTATTCTAAGTAAAAAGTACTGTATACACTGAAAATGCATGATTTTTTAAGTGCCCCCTATTTTTGCGTAAAAATCTAATTATAAAAACTCACACAATACTAGAGTATATTTGGTATTTAAATAGTATTTTAACCTTTTAATAAATCTTTTTTTAACTGCACATATACTCATCTTAATTGTTATACTTTTCAGCTGCTCTATCTTCCAGCCTTCTGTTTTCATAATTTGTACCTTGGCATTTTGAACAAAACCCTTTATTCAATTTATGGGGCTAGAGTGTTCCTATGTTTTTCATTCTTAGGGTGTATTTCATATCCATTAATACTCACCAGTCTTTCATTCATTAGTGTTGTTTGTCTGCTTCTTCCTATGTACTAAAGTATGTGTGTCTTTCAGCACTACCAGACCCAGGTAACCAGATATATTATTTTCACCTAAACTTTTAATCCACTGAGCTTTGTCTTCCCAGTTGTGAGTTTAATCTCTGTATCTAGTAGTGTGGCTCAAAGTCTCACTCTTTCTATTATGAGACATGAATATTGTAGATTTTACATGTACAGGTTGCTTTTAAGATATATTCTGTTCAGAAGTAAAATTTACTATTCTTTGTCAAATCTGCCTTATTTAATATAGCAATTCAAATGAAATTCTTACATAGATATCCAAACCTGGTCTCATCTGGAAATTTGAGTGTGACAAAATTTCGAAGGGCCTATCTTCATTGTTTAATCTGTTAAATATTAACCGGTTTAAGAAGTGACATTCTTCTGGCTACTCTGCTGTAATAACCTATGTACTTTCATTATTGGATTGGTATGGGCACACTATGCTACTTTATATTAGGACTCTTCCATTTTGTGCATGGAGACAAATTTCTTGATGGCCTGAGTCAACAAAATAAATAAATTTCTTTCATCAGTTGAATAGTATAATTATACAGTTTAGAAGATAAAATAAAATTCCAAGTTTGTTTATTTATTCTACCCACAATGAAATTTTACAATCTGACAATTTCTGTACTCTTGGAATGTGAGTCAATCTGAAGTAATTTCTGGTTTCCTTCTATAGATTACATTCAATTCCCTGTGGACTAAGACTAGCACACACACACACACACCATGAAATTGCATACACCGATGATCGGATGAATCAACTTTTTTTTTTTTTTGTCTGTACTGGAGGCAAAAATTGTCATTGTAGAATTTTCTTCCTTTGCAGCTGTAAGCACATTCTGTCCTCTTGAAACAGTTACTATAAACAAACATTTGTCAGCAGTTATTTCCTGTATTTTAAGCTGGAATAGGATTAAATTTGTTTTCTGGCACCATTTTGAATGCTAAAATTTGCAAGAAAAACAAGATTTTTAATCAAAATTTTGAACGTTCTAAAAAAAAAAAAAAGAAAAAGGGAGATTAAAAAATTTAACTAAATATTCAAAAGGGACTTTTATTAAGAAGATCAAAGATTTCAACAATAAAACCTTTTCATTATTTCATCAGTATGCTAATTTTGTGGTTGTACTTAATTATACTTTTATTATGTATATAGTTAAATAACTGAAAACAATTCAAATGTGGTTTCTACATAAAAAGAAAAATAAGAGCTATACTTGAACAGAGATAAATAGGTCGAAATTACAAGTACAAGAAATAGATGGTCAATTTAATCTGATAATGTCTTTGCGAAACAGAAGCAGCAGCTCTTCACTTGCAAATTTTTGACTCAACGTTTGTTCAATGTCCCAAGGGAGATAACTCTTTAAACTTTTCTAGAACTGTTGTGCCAAATATAAAATATTACTTCCACCAATTTAAATGCTTCGAAAAATGATTTATTTCACCTGAAAATTGTTTTTCTTTTAAAAAACTAGCAGTTTGAAAAGAACTAAATAAAGTCATTAAAAGAAATTTTTAACTCATTTTTAGCATAACAATTTTATAATTAGAATTAAGTAAAATTGAATAAAATTTTGTTTTATCATTTCTCTAGGGTTTATCCAGAAACAAAGATGGCCTGCTGGTGGTTGAGATGGACTTGAATATGTGTCGGCAAGTTAAAGATACTTGGGGATTTAGAGTAAGTTCACAATTTACTTCTATTATTATTATTATTTTTTTATTTTTTTTTTGTCTTCTAATTCTGAATGCATTATATAATGCTTCCACTTTTCTTTTCTTTTTTTAAAATGCCTACCTTCTTGAAGGGACATGACTTTCCAGAAACTCCAAGTTTTATTTATAATTCAGTTTTCCTTCTCTAGCCATGGCTGGCAACCAGTCTACCCTATTTAATCAATAAGTGGAGGGAGAGATAGATTCATACCTTTCCCAAGGGCATAAGTGTGAAAATAATGCAACAAACTAACCCTGAATTTGATTTACAAGTTTGTTAAAGAAATAAACTTATCAGTCGTTTTCATTTTATTCAAATGTATAAATCTCAAATTAGCTTTCATTCTTTATTTTTTCCTTAAATTTATATTGCATTATAATCTGAGTAACAAAGATGAAGCATTGTCAGTTAACTTTTCATTAGGATTTCTTTCACCTTCATTTCAGCTGCTTTTTATTTATCTAAAAATTGACATTGCTTATCTATGGCTACTATTAGAAGCAATTTAAACATTCAAAAAAGGGCATATGAAATTGTCATATTTGAGATTTGGTAACACATTCCTTTTGTGGCATCGTCCTGGGTATGATGATAAACTATATCCGTGTCTTGGGTAAGACAATAAAATACGTCTAACAGCAAGGTCTCTGATCAGGAGGTTTTGAGGAATGTGGGACCGCCTCTTAATTGCTGGTATTCTTAATTGCTGGGGTGGTAGCACCTGTTAGGGTCCCAGCTGATGATAATGTTTTTGAAAAAATAATGTTACCAGCTGTGCGTTTTTGAAAATAATATTACCAGCTATACATTTTTGAGGAAAAAAAATATTAACAGAAATAGATTTCTGACTAAAAAAAAAAAAAAAGTTGTCAGCATTAAATGACCCATTGAGGTTGATAATGCCATAAAACAAAACAAAACCAAACCAAACCAAAACTTTTGTGGCCTAATCAATAAAACAGGTGAGTCTTAGTAAAGAATGAGTGCCATAGAATTACGGTCATTAATAAATGACTTAATTGTTATACAGTATGGACAAGAAAGTAACTTGCTTATGGTTGGAGGTATTGCCTTTCATTCTTTTCTCTGCACAATGGTGATGCTATTGAATCTTCATTGTTCTATTCTTGAGGCTTGTGATGAAAATAGTAAAAGGATGATGTATTGTCATTTTTAATGATATACATGGATATATTCTCCAGGCAAGTTAAGAAAGGGACTCAATATCTGCTCCCACCCCCATAACGTAATTAAAGAATATTATGTTTTGTATCATAATGAAAAACTACCAAAATTTGTTTATTAATTTGACAAATTCCTTTGTTTTAGATGACTCAACGTTTGGAACTGTATGCAAGTTCTCTGGCTGAAGCTATCAAAGAAGACTATTCACCACCAGTATTCAAAGAGTAAAAGTGTTTGTTTTTCATACTACTTACTGAAAAAGAAACATTCCAACATGACAAAATTTATACTTTTTTAAAAAGTGATTTATTTTTCAAATCAAAAATATAAATATACCTCGAAATTTTTGTTTGGTGAATTCATTAAATATGATGCCAAAATCATGAAGATTACCTGAAAATAAAAATTAAAAAATAATTATCCATTTCTATAATGGCTACTCAACAATAATGTAATCTTATTTTTGAAAAGATGTAGTATGTTATTGCAAAGAAACAGGGTGATAGCAGTAAATAAATATATTTCATATGAGACCAATGTACTAATTACTTGGTAGTAAGTTCAAAATATATCAGTAATGTATAATGGAAGAAACAAGAGGTAAAGGTTACATATGAAGAGAGTAAGAAATCTGTTAATATTATTTTATTAAACAACTACATTAAAACTTTCTAGTTCATATCACATTACAGACAGAAATTGCTAGTTTATGAGAGAAGTGTGTCAGTCAGTTTACAAGAATGACTTTCATAAGAAACAGATTGTAATGGACAACGAGCAATTTTATCCTACATTGTGCTGAAAAGTTTGGAGACAACCAAAAAACTGATGACTGGTCATTTAGTTAAGATTTTTGATTAAATATTCTCTATTCCAGTATAACTAATTACAACAAAGCTAGAAAAATTCACCTCAAATTAATTAAAAAAATTAATGTATTAAATGAAAACTATACTGGTGTAAATTATTATTGGAATTTAAACTTAATATACATTCTTTCCATTAACTCCTCTTTAACATAAAAATAAATGAATTACAGTTTTTGTATTTTTCCTGTTATTTACTCAAGAAAATAAGTCAGTCAAAATAATTTGAAAATTCATCAATATTTTAATGGTAACTTAGCATTTTTATGCTCATTGTTCTGCGTTTTCTAATTTAAACTTTGAAACATGTACTGTATGGAAAAATAAAAGAAATTTAAGCACTTAACTTTTTCCTAGTTTGAAGACCTACGTCCAAGTTCACTGTACGTAATGAAAGTCACATTGTTGACTGTCTGCACAGATGTCAGCATGCATTTCTATTATCTCAAGAGGGAAACTTTCACCACATAAAGGACATGTTGCATTCTCGGTTTCAACAAGTTCCAAATCAAACTGTATGTCATTCTGTATTGAACGGCTTGGATTCGTCACAAGAGAAACTGAAGTTAATTCCCTTGTACCTGTAACGTATACAGAAAAAACATTTTTTTAATTTTAAGTATAGCAAAAAATGTTTAGCAGATTCTCAGATATAGACTAATGATGGAGTGCTTTCACAGTGTAGTCAGAACATATGATGGGTGAACCTACAAATTTTAATTGTATCATACATGGTATCCCTGAAAAGCTTATTTATGTAAATTGACATAAAATCTTCCCTCTATGGCTTTTAAGGGAAAAAAATAAAAATAAGTCTTTGTAAAGCTTAATCCCATATCACCCTATATTTTTTGGACAGTAAAATCCCCATCATACAAAAAACTGCTTTGGATATCTATTGCAATATCTTTTGGTAGTATAACCAATGTATATTTTACAGACCAGACTGTCCACTAAAACTTTTGTCACATGACTGGCAAAATACATCATGGTCTGGTCTATAAATTATTAATGTTACTTAATCAAAAATAGTACTAACACTCAAACACAGTTCAACTATTAAGAACCATAAACAATTTAGGTTTGAGCAAAGATACTTGGAAGTGGGGAATAGGCAATTCAAAGTTTTATCAAATATGTTTTAGTTGAAGTCTTCATGATTTTCGATTTTTTTCATCCTCATCCAACTAACAGTTTGTGTATTGATGTCATTCTCCATATATTTTAACATTTTCATTACTTACCACAAAAAATAACCAAGGATAAAAATTATCAGCAACAAATGGTGCAAATCAATCCAGATGTATTTTGAATCCAAATGGAATGAAATAAAATAGTAGAGTTTCTGCAACACATAAGACATGATGATTTGACCATGATTGTTGGAAAATAGACATAAATATTATATAGATTCAAGATAATGTAACTTCCCCACCTCCAAAACAATAGGGGGTGAATTTTGGTACATTAACCTCTGTAAAATAATCTTTCCAGTGATACCAAACATGATAATATGTGAATTTTTCAGTTCAAACATTCAAATTAGTGTATCTCTTTTACAATATGTATTCTGCACTTCAAATAACTGAAAATATTTAACATTTTCAAGGAAAAAACCCAAAAGCAATAAAATATTACTTTTTTTAAATTTGTTTTTGTTCTGATCATCTATGGTAATGACTTCCTCATTAAATTCTACCAAACTGTCATCATTGTTGACTTTACTTTTCCTCTTTTCTTTTGGCTGTTGCCAATGTCTACCTGACAGCGCTGGCCTTGGGGGTTCAACTCTCATTCGTTTGGTTTGTTGTCTTTCTTCAGAAACTTCCTCTTGATTCTGGGAAGATTGGGAAAATATTTTGTTGATATGAGCACTGACTTTATCGACATAGAGTTTGCGCTCTTCTTTTGTAAGTTTCCGTTTCTTTTTCTTTTCAAAACGGTGCCGTAAATCTGTTAAAATAGCAAAGGGGGGTAAAAATATGGTGAGAAATAATTTTCAATTAAATGGGCAGCCTGTATAGCTAAGTAATAAGGCACTGAACAAACAAGGAATCTTGTCTAAAATTTATTCCTACAATCAAAGCAATTAGAAAATACATAATACTCTATCTGAAATTGAGTCAGAATTGAAATGTCAGTCTAAAGATCCATTGTATAGGAAAGGGTGCTGAAAAGTTCTTAGCTTGACCCACCAAATTTTTTTTTTAATCTATCAGTTAAGCTAGTGACTTTTTAGTACACCCTTGTGTATATAATAAACTACACACATAAAAAAAAATTGTTTTTCTTTCTAACAGGTATTTTAAAAATGTTGAATTTTAATTTTACACTCCTTAAATAAAAGACAAATGTAACTTTTGACACAGCTAAATTAATGAAAAATGCTATTTAAGAATTTTATCAGAGATCTAATATCTTAATTACATTCAGTAAATTTAACATTTTACAAGTTAAAACATTGCAAAAATGAAAGCAACAAAAACAATACATTTCTGTGGCGTAGTTGAACTATTTTAAACTACAAAACTCATTAGAAACGTCATTACGAATTTTGTCCCAGAAAGTTAATGTTTTTCTCTAAAAATGAACATATTCATGGAAAATAGATCTTATAGTCAATATTTTTTCTTTCTAACCATATTTTTTTCTTTTAAAAGTATGTTAATTAAAATTTGACATACTTTTAAATGTAAAATTTTTTGAATGGCATTGTACAATAGGCACTGTCACCAGAAATAATATATATATATATTTTTTTTTTCAAAATTACTATAGATTAAACAATCCAGAACCAATTATTAAAAAAAAAAGTTATTAATCAGTGCATATTTTATAACAGTGCAAAATGTTATTGAAAATTTTCATATTTCAATTAAATGTTGTATGTTAAAGAATACAACATTGCTCCAGGCCATGATTGCTCAAAGTGGATATATGTGCTAGATGAAAAGTCATGCCAAACCTTTAACTTACCAGACCCTGAAACTAGGATCTCTAAAGATATTAAAATATCACTTTTGTATATAGTAGGCTGTTTCAAGAAAATATTGTCCTACAGAAGAAAGAATATTTAATACAAAGAATATGGAAATGTTTTTGAAAGAAATATGTCATGAGCCACATTGTGATTTTTTTGATCTTGGAGAGTGGTCATCAGATTGTAGAAATCCAGAAGCTCCCCACTTGGTCCACATGCGAGTTCGTTGGGTGAGAATCTGGTTAACAGAAAAAATAAATAACCAAGTCGATTCGATTTTGAAAGGACAAAAAGTTTTTTTTTTTAGAAAAATAATTCTTGTTGCACAAGGTTGAATGTTTCTTGTATGTGAACAATAACCAAACAAGCACAATACTTCAAATAATTTTGGTAAGGAGGGATGTGGCTTTTGTTTTAACCCTTTTTGGTCTGTTCTTAGCACAACTACTACAACCTTCGATGTTCCCATACTCAGTAGACGTATTAGTAGTGATAGTATTCATAGTAGCAGTACCTAGATTTTAGCAGTAGTAATTTGCTCTTTGTCTCCTGTTCAGCAGCACACAATAGACGCTTTCTTTACAATCTCTGACGTCATTCCACTCAGTCCAATGCATACAAAGACAGACGAGCCCAAACTCTCCATTTTCAATCTCCAATATCTCTCCACCCAGCTCAACTGCGCTCGAAGACAGATGAGCCAAAACTCTCCTATCTTCCAGTTGGCTTGCCTCTTTATATAGAGAACTTGTGACGTATTTGTTTTTCTAGTGTGAACATACTGACATAATTTCAAATACAATTTCACTCTTTTGTTTGGTTTCCAAGGTCCACAACAAGACTCCATTGTTTAACACCTCGCTATCAACTACTCTGACACTTTTTGTAAATTACAGAGAGTTCAGTTTCAAAAATAAACTCTAAATCAAAACAGCCTTTATTTTAACTTTGATTCTTAAAGTGTCAAAATCCATTTCTTTTTCTAAGAGTTCCAATTATCATTGTCCCAGTAATTTTCTATTAGTAATCTAATATCCTTTGTACACTTACAAAAAGATTGTATTTCGTGTTCTAAATTAACTTTCTGTAACATTTATATTTCAAAGCCTTTACAGCATTTTTAACATCTTGGTTCTTTTGAAAATGCCTTTTTTCTGTTTTACAGCATTTTATTGTTATTATTATTAATTCAGGGGTGATATTGCCCTCACCACACATTTACAGATATAAGTTAATAATTGTTGTAGTTGTAAGGTGCTTCCTAATAATAAGCACCATTACTAATTACCTAATTACTGAATAATACAAAGTTTTTTTGCTAAAAAAAATGTTCTGTAATTGTTATTTGGTAGTAAATTAGGTCTCTACATGTCTGCCCTCAGGTGAAGACTTAGCTGTATGGCTGCCAGGCTTCTTATAAGTATCAACTTAGGCTGAGGGATCAGTATTAAGACAGAACAGGGAACTTACACCATCTATAGAAGTGAGGAAACACCTTTCCTTCAAGCAGCTAAAAAGCTTTGCCAAAATTGGAGATAACTCTGGCTTGAGCCTCTTAACTAGTACCTGGATTTTATCCAGACTGATAGTCTTTCTAGAGTAAATGCTTTTTGATGAGTCTGGAAACTTTCTGTGCTGTGATAGAGATATTAGCCCTTGTCATCTAATGTGGCGTTAGAGGTAAGAAAAATTTTCCTTTACCTGCAATTGTAATAGAGTCTAACTCGTCAGTTTTGATGTCAAGTTTAGATATGAACTCATCCATTTCTTCTTGAATCTGGTGAGAGAGAGAGAAAAATTATTCAGTCATGTATCAACAAGAAACTCCAAAGTGAATAAAATGGGAAGCATTTAGTTTTAGATGTTAACTATATACAAAGTGAATAAAGATTAAGTCTGTAGCCTACTGAGAAAAAACAAAGCATTTATGTGTTCTCTAAATTTTAATGATTTGACAAATACACAGTAAAATTGTCCATTTACAATTAAGTCATTACTTGTAAAAACAAAAAAAAGTTTCATCCTTTTCTGTCTTGACAATTTTTCCTGATTCAACTCTTTGTATTTCAAGAGGAAAGTAACAAATCTGTCTAAGAATAAATTACTGAAAGACAATATTTGAGTCTTGTCAAGTTTCAAATAAAATTTTTCTATTCTAAACAACCATTAATAGATAGCAAAGTAACTTGGAATCAAGTTTTCAAGGAGTGTATGACATGTCAATTTGCTAGAAACAAACATTAAGAAATTTGTTGGTTAACAATATAACAATCTAAAAATGAAATTAAAAATGATTTTTTTTTTTTTTTTTTTTTTTGGTACATTTTTTTTGACTCACCATAGTAAGTGAACTAAGCTGCATGCGTCAATTTTGATGTCAAGTTTCTCAAAACAACTAAGATAATGTGAAAAGTAATAACATCCCATCTCAAGTGCTCAGAATTTTGAAAGATTTTCATGAAGCTTTCAATTATAATTTATTTAGGTACTCAAAAAGTATTAAAACAACCAGAAATAACAATAGCAAATTTATATAATATAATTTTTTTCCATATGGTCATTAATTAACATAAAGAAATATCAACTCTGTTAATTATTTCACGTAGGCATAAATACTTTAGATATCAAGTGAAGCAAGATTTCTTTTTTTTTTCCATTCATACAGTTCAAAATTAGTTGATAAGCATGTTACTTCAGTGTAACATTATTAGTTCTACTATGTTGTCATACAACTTTTTTTTAGTATATGACATCAGCACAAATACCGAGCCAAAAAACTGCTGCTTGTAGTTACATAAAAGGTATTAAAAATAAACATACCGACAAGCTTTCTTTTTGAGCTTTCATCTCAGAAAAAAACAATGGCTTCCAAGAAGAGTTGGAACTGGGTTTATAGCGTTTGTTGGTAGCATATTTTCCAGCATTTTCTTGGGCCACCATAAGCATTTGAGCAGATCTGGACAGGCCCTCAGGTTGAGCAGTGTTATTTAAGCAATGACCAGCTACAGGACTGAATAAAAAAAAATTATGTTTGTATATATATACACACATGGATGGATAGATAGATACATGTTTGATTAAAGACAATGAACAAGAGAATGAATTTTTTTTTTTTTTCTAATTTATGTATAAGAGAATACATGTTTGGCTACATTGAAAGTCAATAAAGTTCAAACATATGTGATCAAGCACTTACATACTATAATAAATATAATATAATATATACTATACCATTATAAAGAAAATCTGAAGCTTTGTTTTATAGTTAATGCTGTATAAGAAACACATTATTTACATGTATTTGTGCAAATATCAGTGCCTGGTAATCTATTTATTAATATAACAAATGGTAAGTTAACCTATAAAATGGTAGTTGTATTTCCCACAAAAATATATTTTATATTAATGAAATGCATCATAATTGTAGCCAGGACTAAAGAGCTATTAAGAATATGTTATATACACATCTGCATAATGCTTCCTTTCAAAAAACCTCATTAAACAGTTCTAATGACATCTTTGAATTTTCTTGAGGTGACTGTGTCATGGTGCTGTAGTATGTAATTAACACCAGAAAATACCAAAAATCTGAATTGAATTAAAGTCCATCAGGAACCTTCGATCTGTGGTAACTCTAAGAGATAGCAAAGTAAGTTTTCGTCACCTCAGATAGCCTGAAAACCTAGGAACCTTGAAGATTGACTTTAAAGCCACCAAGTTGAGTGCAGAGTCAAGCTCAAAAGGATGTCAATAGGTACATCAGCATAAAACAAACCCAGAACAAACATACACAAGACAGCCAGATAGCAGTAAGTTATATAAATACCTGACCTATAAGAGGAGAAAGAGAACCCCTTATACCCTTACAAGATTGAACATTTGAAGAAAGACTTGAAACTACATACCCTCAATTCAGCTGACATTAAGTTGACAGAATACAAAAGTGAATAAACAGTTACTTTATGCATGTAAAATTTAGTCGTGTATTTTTATCAAACATTACTAATATAAGATTAAAATGCACAAATATCAAATTCCTTCTTTAGCTGTTATCAAAATTGTTTTAATGAAACAATGCTGTCTAGATATGCATTATGGATATTTATTCAGTTTAGAAATTATCTTAAATGCTGCATGGTAAAATTTAAATTTAATAACAGAAATTTATCTCCCATGAACTTGAAAATAACTAACAAAGAGCAAAAAAAGCACTCAATTGCACAATTAAGGCCTATTTTTGCATGTGTCTCCAAACTGAACACTAAAAAGAACATGTTTAAAATAATTAAAAAGAAAAAAATGTTCTAAATATTATTTTCAACAAAATCCATATCCTATACACGAAATATTTTCACCCCCATTTTTAACCATTATATTCAATCATATACAAAAAAAATAAAATTAACTTTAAAAAGAAATTAAATAATAAAACAATCAATATTAGATTAATAAATGATTACTTTTAAAAAAACATTTTGGGAAATTGTCATCATCCATTGTTATAAAATATATGCACTAAACACAAAATAGAAAATTAATAAAAATGAAAGGTAAACAAATCTAAGCATAACCAATGAAACCAAAAAAAAAATACTACCTTTTTACTCGGTTTCCTTTGAGAGCAGGATTCTGGACATTTTTGTGTTTTGAACTGAGATTCTTGTCTGTTTTCTCATCTTCTCCTTTGGGCTAGAAAATACGAAATTTGGATATTTGTGAAAATCATCAATTTAAAAATAACTTTATATAAAAAAAGAAAAGATAGACAAATAATGAACAACTGACAGTTTAAATGAGATTCATATGAAATATAACAAATCTTTCTGGATTTAAGCATCAACTTGACAACAATTAAGATAGGCTTAAATAACATTGCACACAGTCCATTTACTGGATCTGTGAGGACGAGTCAACATTTTGTACTCAAAAGTAGTTGACTAGACAAGAAACCCTTTTCAAGTATCAAAATATGCTGAAAAGAGGTGAAATGTTTTCAAGGTCTTCATGGCCTCTTGTACATAATATTGACATGTTATGTACACTAAAAAATATTAGAAAAGGTCACAAATGACACTAGCACTTCAAGACTCCAACCTTAGCCCATTTAAACAAGCTAACCAGAGGGCCATAATTGATTTACTGGTGTTGCACAAAGGAGAAAAAAAACATGCCAGGTATAAGGACACCATTCACCTTTCCCATGGACCCAGTTTTGGTGGTGATATCCTGAAACAAACCGCCAATATCTCTTGGTAAAGTTAATTTAAAGACCCTATAGGGGAAATGGTGAATATGCAAAAGATCATCCTTGAACTTTATTATTATTTTGAATTTTTCAAATTTTCATTTGTGTAAGTGGACAGCAGAGGTTACATTTTAAATGCTTTATTTGCCTACTCCAGCATCCCCCAAATTTGCCATGTGCCTGGACCAATCCACACCAGTTAAAAAATGCTAAGCATGTTAAAAATTTGCAGGTTCCTTCATGCTTCTTTTACCCAGTTCCAGGTTTCTGAAGTTGTGAAAGTCTTTAAGTCTTAAGCAGCTGTAAGATGTTCTCCAGAATATTTGGTTTAACATGACAAATTCTTCCTTTACGGTGTATTACTTCTCAATTTTTTTTTTTTTAATGTTTGATCATTTTAGTGATTTTACACCAACAATCCTGGAGAAAATATTCAACCAAATGAGTAGCTGGGAGCTTCAGATACTGAGACCTTGGTTGTGATCAACAAAATGCTTTCTCTCATTCATAATCCTTTTTTAGTCAGGGCCAGACAATCTTCAGCAATGAGTAACAGTATGTCCCATAAAGATCATACCTCTTACAGCCTGTAAAACCTTAAACCACAAACTTGACAGTGACATAATCACATGGTCTATTGTGATCATGACAAACTTAGTTGTTTTTCTGTCAGCCACAAAAAACAGGGTTTTTTTTTTAATGATTAATTTTATTTTTTTTTACCAAGTGTCTGTACACTACTTGGCCTGTTGTATAAATTTTATGACATGGGAGTGGAAATACCCCCAGACATGTCTTTGCTTGTTTCTTTCATGTTCTCTGGAGTGTTAAGTTTTTCTTTTACTGATTTTCCAATTTTTCATTCTTCACTTTTGTGTTTCTCCTTTACTTTTCCTAAATCCCCACTTATTTTTTTTTTAGGATGGGGTATGAGACAATGTGATACTATGATTGGAACACCCACATAGAAGAGGAACGTGTGATTTTATCTTGATCTTACATGTTTTCGTTTTATGGCTGGCAGAATCTTTCAAGTTGGATCTTCTAAGCAGCACCTACTCAACTGAAGAGAGAACTTCTGGAATCAAATGAGAAAACCAGACACTGATGATTTTGAAAATGTTGGTTTGTATTAACAGTCCCAGTTGGGATAAAGGAAGTCAGTTTTGATGTGCTTTTTTTGGAGGAGTGGATAGACACCCCCACACCCCGTGTAGCTCCAATGTCACCCATATGTCGTGTAGATAGGCAGAAAGTTGGTAGGAAGGAAGAACTGAACTGAGCTGTTAGTCCAACATCGCAGAGGTTGTCCCCAGGTGTCACCTACTTAGGCCTCCAGACTGAGTAAGTGAAGCCCTGAATAAAATATGTAAATATATTAGAAACAGGGTTTGAGTTCTCATTTCTTGACATGGCATTTGTTTTAATCTTTTGTTAGCTTGTGAGTTTTGAGGGCACACTGATGTGAATGAGAATGGAGATCCAACATGGAGTAGTCATTGGCTGGTTGGTGAAAATTTCAATGCCACAATGTAAAGTTGAGATGTCTTGGACACTGATCCATGCTACATTTGATAACAGCCCCCCAAAATAGTAAAAATTCTGCCATCACTTTATATAAAATCTGCATTATATAAAGATGTACAGGTAGCATACTGAGATGTAAAGTGGAATAAGCATGCAGATTTCAAATTCTGACAGAGTTTCTTTCATTTACTTTTCACAAAAACCATAGGAAAAAAGGATCAATCCATCTTCCTCCAGTTATGGGTTCAACTAGCAAGGCAAATTAGGTTCTCTTGACTTAACCAACCTAGGAGAAGGAAAACTGAACTTAAACCTCCATAAATAGATCAAACAAACAGGACTCTTTGGCCTTGGTAGTGCAACCAGCCTAGGAGAGGGACAATTCTGAATACAAAACCAGTCTGAAGAAAGATGAGTCAAGCTTTCTTACCCTAAACATATCCACTGCTGCTATATATATCAGACTCTAATAAGCCTAACATGGACATAGAACACTTGATCATGATTATATAAAATACTGAATAGAAATTTTGTTATTTTCAAACAATTTTTCTCCACACATAACTTTGTCCTAGACATTATGAACTCAACATTAATAATAAAGCCCGTTCCCTCAACATTTTAGTTGATACTGACAATCATAATTTTACTATTTCTCTATATGAAAAACTCCACAAGCAAAAATGTCTTCAATTATTACAGTGAATAAACTCAGATAAAATAGCCATTATAAAAACATGATTAAATGAACAAATTGGACAAATTATTTTATAAAGAATTAAGCAACATAAAACAAACACTATAATTACTCCAAACATGTCATTGGTAAGCAAATAAAATTACCTTTAAAAGTAATTTAGAAAAATTAACATACACAATCATCTCAATATAGACAAAAATAAAAATTATTAACATATTGTATCATAGCCAGATGCACATTAAAAAACTAAATGAAAAAGCCATTAATATAATTCACTGGTACATATCACTTAATAATCCTAAATGACCCCAATGTATGATGCCTTATTTGGAAATCCGAAAAATACAATAAAATTGTCATTTGAATTTAACAAAACTTGTTTGGGTGAATTCTTGTTGCATAAATGCTGATACCTCCAATGAGAGGGACAAATGATTACACAAAGGTTCATCTATGAAACTCTGGATTAGATGTGCTGAAGGTAAGATCAATCAACAAGGTGACAAATGTTATATATATATATATATATATATATACACACACACACACACATATATATATACACACACTGAGCAATATCAAGGGGGTAACATTGATTTGTAAAGAAAAATAAAAAAAATACATACGAAAGAGCTTTGGTTGTGAGCTATTAATTCAGCAAAAAATGACTTCTTTCCAGAAGGCGTTTGACTTTGTTTGCAGTATTTACTGGGAGCATATTTTCCAGCATTCTCCTGAGCAGCCTTGAGAATATTTGCAGTTCTTGATAAGCCTTCCACACGAACAGTGCCATTGTCTGAAGTTGAAGCTATTTTAAGTAGTTGTGTTTCTAAATGCATGTCAGATACAGGACTAAAAAGAAATTTTAAAAAGTTAATGGCATTTTCTAATTATACCTACGAGGAAGATTACAATAAATTACAAACAGCTATTCATTAAGTAGGTACCTTCACTTTTTCACAGAAAACAGCATAGCATAATGAAAAAGGCCACAAACTTAATAAAAATAAAGTGTTATCGTCAAAAGACCAAAGTATTTTTTGGTTATTTTTTTTAATCTTTTCTAACACATTCGAAATTTTGATTAAAATCTTGTTTTGTTTACGTCATTGGGGTATCATAATAATTAAACTGACTTTTTGAGGGTTTTTTTTTCCGTTGGAAACACATTGATTTGAAAATTCTTGTAAAAATCAAATAATTGTCTGATTTTAATGAAATTTTCACATCTTATTCACAAATGAATGAAATTTTTTTTTTTTTTTTTTTTTAGAAAATTTTGGTAAAAAAAAAATTTTTTTTCTTATATGTGTTACAGCCCCCGAATGACTTAATTTCTTGAAATTTCACAAAAAAAAACATTTCTCAAATTATTTTTTTTTTTTTTTTTTTATTCGTTAAAAGTAGGGCTCCTTGGAGAATCTAAATCATCTAATTTTTTTTTTCAAATTTGCACTATTCTAAAAGAAAATCTGCTCTGAATTGAAAAAATAATGAATGCAATAAAACTATGACATTATTTAATTAGAAAAGCTTTTAATTGCTTTTGTAAATAAGTTATATTAAGGACACTATTGTCCTTAGAAATAAAATTTTTCCAATGAATAATGGATTTTTACAAGAATTTTTTAATTTTTTTTTTTTTTCAAATTTTGATTAGAATAATTTATAATAGTTTAAAATTGTGTAAAATTCTGTATTGGGCTATTTCCTGAATGTGATATAGTAATTAAATGGCAACAAAATTTACAAATCCAAAATTAAAAAGATTAAAACATAATTACACTATTCTATTTTTATAATTTTTTATTTTTTTACTTAATTTGTTCCTTTTTTTCATCTATGAAAGGCTAAGCATGACATTATTATAAAAAGGTCACATGATCTAAGAGTTTGGTCTCTTTACAGAGAAATTAATTAAGAAAATTTTATAGTATTTTAAATTTTTTTATTTTTGCATAAAGCATTCTTGAAAGGTAAATAAAAGTCAATAAATTATCAGATAATTGCAGAAAATATGTTCATTTGTAAAAATTACTAGGTAGTTAAAAACCAAAAGAATGCGTTTACTTAGATTTCGTAAATTTTATGTCAATTCTTGTCAGCTATTCTAGCTGTTATCGCTTAGTCTCCGAATTGTCCATCAATCATCACCTTAGATGAACAGGACCAATCATTAACAAATGTTACTTTTTTATGCTATAAGTAATTACTTTTTTATGCTATAAGTAAATAATATTTATTTCAAATCAGATTAACATTAAATTTTCTAATTTTACTCAAATAACGTGTCAGAAATATATATTTTTTCGAAGAGTTTTAAATATCAATAAATTTGTTTGTTTGCAAATTTCTTAAAATTAAAAAAAAAAAAAAAGAACTCTTTTAAGAAAATTCTCAGAAATCTTAATTAAATTTGATATTCCAATCTATATAATTTCTATCTGAAATACACCAGAATATTTTACTTATTAGAAATAATAAATTTAATCCTTTAGCTTTCAATTAAAGCTAAAATGAAATGCTCAAGAATGCTTCTTCATTTTTAAAAATTATCGAAAATTTATGCCAAAAAAGTGGAGGTACCTATCATTAAGTCTCAAGATATTTTTTATTTAAATATGAACAAAATTATATTAGATTGATGCAAAAAAAAAAAAAAAAACATTGGTCAGCGGTGAAATACTTCTTTCTCATTTTGCACAGAAAAAAGCCATTTTATTTAAATAAAAAAAGCCATTTTATTAAAACAATGCAACAAGGTATTGCTGGAAGTGAAAGAAAAGAGAATGGGAAAACTTTAGTACAGAGAAAGGACAATAAAAGAAAAGTTCAGGAAAACAAAAGATGGTAATTGGCATTACATTTAAATTTTTGAAGATTGTAGGTGGCAGGGAAGAAAGAAATCGGGAGTTTCACAGGTGACAAAAAAATCTATTAGAATAGAATATACAGTTACATCTAGTTAGGTCAACAGTAAAACAGTGAGACTTTGTTGCCAATCTAGTAGCACACTTAAATTGAGGCACCAAGGAGGAAAGCTAGTCAGGACAATTGCCATAAAAATATTTGTAGAAAAGACAGAGAAAAGCCACACAATGTCAATGAGAAAATGACTGGAGTTGAGATGCCAGGTTAAGATCAAATACATTACAGAACCAACCCTTCTTTGAATTTTGTAAAGAATCTCAAGATATATAGTAGGTACACCAGACTAGATATTGCAGCAATATTCAATGCATGGACATAGGTAGATTTATAAATGTGCAAGATGGATTCTGATGAGCAAAATTGTCTGGCATGGCATGGTTAGCATCAGCCATGCTGATGACAGACAGAAAAGGTCCTCTATAGTGATAAAACTAAAGCAGTTTTGTTTTGAAGGCATTCAAATTTATAAGCATCAGTTTACCAATGATTAGAGCTCCTTTTCAAGAGCAGTTACCAGTTTTACTTTGTTAGTCCTGTCAGATTTGCTACTAAGTTTGGAGTAAACAGTTTTGTCATCAGCATAAATACCAAGTTGGGAACTGATGACACTGAGAAGGTTATTGATGAAGATAAGAAACAACATAATTCCAAGGCTAGACCCCTGCATTAATGTGAAATAAACTAGAAGAGTGCTCGTTCAACACAACCTTCATTACATGATTTATTAGGAACAGTCGGATTAAACAAAATATTCTATCCAGAGACACCGTTTGGTTTGGTTTGTTTTACAGCATATCAACCTCAATGGGTTATTTAATGTTGACAAAATTTTTATTGCTGGTAATCCCCCCTCCACTAAAAAAAATGTATTGCTGGTAATATTTTTTCCTTCAAAAATATAATGCAGGTAATATTTTTCCAAAGAAACGTATTGCTGGTAATATTTTTTCAAAAAATGTATTGCTGGTAATAATTTTTTCTTCAAAACTATATTGCTGGTAATAATTTTTTCCTCAACAATGTATTGTTGTTAATAATTTTTCCTTCATAAAAGTATTACTGGTAAAACCTTTTTCTCGAAAATAGATTTCTGGTTAATAATTTTTCCCTCAAAAATGTATTGCTGGTATTAATACCTATTTTTTTACAGCATTTTGACCCAGTTTGGGGATTGACTATTTACTCATAGCTGGGACCCTAACAGGTGCTTCCACCCCAGGTCATGGTAGACCTGAGAACACCAGAAATTAAGAGACGATTCTACACTCTTCAAAACCTCCTGATCAGAGGCCTTGCTGTTGGGTGTAGTATAATGTCTTACCCAGGATGCAGATATAGTTTATTGTCATACCCAGGACAAATTCTCCACTTAACTATTTACCCATAACTGAGACCCCAACAGGTGCTACCACCCCAGGTCAGGGTGGACCTGGGAACATAAGCAATTAAGTGGTCATTCCACACTCTTCAAAACCTCCTTATCGGAAGCCTTGTTGTTGGACTTAGTTTATCATCTTACCCAGGAAATGGATGTAGTTTACCCTCTCAACCAGGATGCCTCGTTTGGAGTAGTCTTACCCCTCTGCAGAAATGCAGTCAGCATATGCTGAAGCCCCTGCCAACAGGGCTCCAGAGGCACCACATCCATGACCATTTTGGAGAAGTCTAGCATGTCAAACGCCTTCAAGATATCTAAAGCCATAGCCAGTGTTTCACCCTTATCTAAATCCACATATATTTTCTATTCATCAACTGTTTTCTGTTTGTTATTTGATTAAAAGTATTAAATGCATAGTTCCTTCATGCAGCATAAAAAAAAAAGAAAAAAAAGATTAACCCTGACTTCAGAAATTATTTTAGTTTAACAAAACTTCACAGTTATCAAGTAAAATCATTGTTGAACCAATGAGAAAAAAAATACCTTTTTAACTGTTTTCCTTTAAAAAAATAGTTCTGGATTTTCTCATTCACTGACTGAGGGTTTTCTTCATTTACATGTATGCTTTTGGATAACTAGGTAAAGAAAAATAAATTTTTAATTAAACAACTTTTAAAATGTTAAAAGATAGAATGAGTATATACCTTACTAGCATGCTCATCTTCATTGTTAGACTTACAACTTTTGTAAGCTGTCTGTCATGCTCAGTAAGCTTCTCAACGTTTTGCAATACAACAGGTCCCCCACATGATTGGCTTAAAACTTCCATGAAGTAACAAGAACTGCAAATGATTTTCTTTTATTATGACAAGGTAAACAATAAAATTTACCAAGAAAAATCTTCAAATCAGCTACTTGCTGGCAGAAAGGAAATAGAGAAAATAAATAAATGAAAAGGTTTGGGATCAAGTGCCACGTAGCCAGAAGTCACAGGCTTATATTAGCAAAGTCACAGAATGAGCAGAGAGTTTTGAGCCAGTAGTGAGGAAGTTGAAAGCCATATATTGAGATGTAGAAATGAACAGAGGGGTGATAGGAGAGAGAGTTTTCCCTGGGCAAATGGAAGAGCTGATCCTTTAGTCTGTCCCAAGTATTACCTACTTACTCTCCAGGCTGTACCAAGTGAATGTGCAAATAAACATCCAAATATATGAGAAACAAGATTCATGATTTTAATTTCTCAATTATTTCATTTTCCATTCTCTTGTAAACTTACAATGGATCTTTCCCATTTTTTTGTGCATGCTGACACAAATGAAAATTGAGATATATGGAAAGACTCATTTGGTGAGAGAGAGAAAGTTGGTCAATGTATGTTTACATTTGAACCAAACTTTTTATTCAATTCACAGATGTAGATTGTTCTAAATGTGGTCAAATAGATTAAATCATTAGTTAAAACAGGTTTCCTAGCAATTGCAAATTCCATCCTTGAGTCAGGTAATGCAAAAAAGTTACACACTAGTTCAGTGGAAGAGTTAGAAAGTAACACAAAGCAAATAAACCAAAGACATGGATAGGATATCATGAAAAGGCCAATAAACCAGAGATATTCATGTACCATGAATAGCAAATGAGAACAGTTTACTACTGTAGATTAAATGGAAGGTTTTGTTTAAAAATTCCAAGAAGGCTACCAAGCATGACAGACATGAAGCCTGGAAGGTACAACAACAAAAACACAAGTGTAATAAGGTGATCATCCCATTCTAAATAGAAAAACATATTCATTTTTCACTTTAAAAATGTCAACATAAATTATGGGAATGGGTAATAAAACAAGAAAACTGAAGACCAAATATAATATTTGAAAATTTAAAAAAGTGTTATTTAAATAGATTTTTTAATTGACATTATCAAATATTCAGTTGAGCAACTAAACAAATGCTACTAGTACAATGATACCCAGTACTGTCATATAGTCAGGACATCAGCAACTAAAGTGGTTCCTTCTCCAGGCATTTCTGGTGAGGAGGATGGCTAGATACCAAGCAGCATTAAACACAAGACCTGTAGGGTCAACAGCCAGCTAGTACAATGGAGTAGACTAAGCCCTATAGCTATGTATGTAGTCAGTGTGGTAATGATACAGCATTGCTGGACAGAGATCATCCTCAACTGAAATCAACAGCCAGAGCAGAGGGTCTCCAAGAGAATCAACAGCTTCATCTCCATGACTAAGGTGAGCCTTCAAGTTGAAGGATATTGGCTGTAGTTTGACCTGGAGAAGGATAAGCTTCGCTAAGTCTACTTGTCCAGGACAGACTATGCATGAATGAATACCTCTCTGGCTTTCAACCCAAATATGTGGAGAGAACTGATCAGGTGTTCAGCAATTCTATGGCCACACCCAGCCGTGGGATTGATGATGATGATGATGATGATGATGATGATATCAAATCACAAAAATTCTAAGATTTATTTAATTTTCATTGGTTTGTTAGATCTAGTAATTAAATTTTTTTAAAATTAGTCGTAAAACTTGAATTTTTCTTTTTATCTGTATGATTACCTTCTATACTGGTTTCAAATTCATATAAATATTCAAATATGGATTTTATGGGTATTTTCATTGGAGTTAGCTTTATCCTTCCTAAAAAAAGATTAAATTACCTGATCTGTTTTCTCAGCATTAACAGGTGAGTCTTCAATTTTGCTTGCTTTGATACGAAGAAACGTAAGACCAAACTGGACGTTCTTACGAAAATTCTGCTGACAAACAACACGAATACGATCCCACATTTTAGTGACAGCGTTTGAACAAAAATGACCTGAAGATAAACAAATTTTATTAATTTGACCAAAATCTAATATGCTGTTGTAAATTTTAAAATATTAATGTTAAGTAATTTTAAGTTGAAAAAGGTAAAAAGTTTTTTTTTAATTCTTTGGAAATTAATTTCTTTTTGGTGGCAGGATATTCAAACAATTTATCTTCATAAAATTTATCCTCTAAGGAGGTTCTTTATTACAATATCTAAAAAGATGAAGACTGATTAATTTTTATAAGAATCTGAAATGGTCATAAATTATCTGAGTAGATAATTTCTAATATATGATTATATTATTTCTTAACAAGTTTAGATGGCCTACATCAAAGAACAAGCCCTACCGCTAATGATTTTCTACTGTGTTTCTGTTGCATTTTCACACAACTATTGATAACAAGCGGTTACTCATGGTTGATTGACAATATTGACTGAATGCAGCTGGTAGGAGTTGCAACAAATTTCATTGTGACAGCTTATTGCTGATTAGATGCTGTTAATCATAAAGTTTACAAAAAGTCCAGGTGCCAATAAGCAATATTCATTGGGTAGACATGTTTCCACCATTGCCAACAGATGGCATCTTTTATAGCTAACGAGAAGAGGGGTTCTAGAATCCCCATGTCTATAAAAGACATGTGGTAATTTCTCTTCTTTTTCCTCTGGATTTTTTCAAAGGGAACACAATTTAAGCACAGAGCACTGTTCTACTGTCCTGATATAGCATAAATGAATTTGTGTTCCTCTGACGTCACTTGTACAATAAACACTATACACTTTTTTTCAATCCACCATTCTTGAGTTCCCGCACACATAACCAATGTAAAAATCTTTCTCTTCTCACTGCTTCAGCCCTCTTATCTTACTAACACCACAGCAGCTTTCTTTGCTTTTGTCCTCAGTTACCCAATCAAATGGCATCCTCCAGTCTGACCAATCAGCATGCGACTTACAATTGGTTGAACCACACTAAGCTGTACAAAAGCCACCCTTACAGAATATACACTTTTGAAATAATCTAATGTAAGGAGGTGAGATTCATACCATTTTCAAGGAACAAAGTGCCACTGCTATGTGTCATGTATTGAGGTAAGGAACTTATTTACCTTTGCACCAGATGCAAGCCTTGCTTGCTTCTATGTAATTGTTCACCACACCTGATGAGAAATATATTTCAGGCAATCATACTTCCAGTGTCTATCTGCCACACAAAATTTACAATGCTTAACAGGCTCCCTCCCTATACAAGTGGAAAAGTTTTCCAAAGTGGAAGATGGTTTTTTTTTTAATCTGGGTTTTAAGGGCATGGAATTACAAGTTCTATAAGGACCCGAACGAACAGGTTCCACCCTTAGTTTCAGAGTTTTAATAATGTCATAACTTTGCAGAATGTTGTTTAATGTAGGATAACTGGAATTATATTGCTGCATAAATTCTATTTGCAATTCTCCTAGTTTTGAAAATACAATGTAACTCATCAATATGTACCCATCAAGAAAATCCAACAAAAGTGCTCCTTAATTCCCGCAAGTTGTTTTTATTCTATTTAAGAACATTTTAACACCTTCAAATCTTGAGTCACACAATGGTTTATACTCCAAAATCTGTTTCAATGTCTCATCCACTATGAACCCCTCATCCAAAATATCTTTGTTTAGTAATGATAATGTGTATTCATAATTCTGGTGTCAGATTAACAGATGTTGTATGATTAGAAGTGTATAATTTGTTAAACAGATCTTAAAGTACTAAAATCTGGCTGCCTTAGATCCTACACAGGCTACATAATTTTCAAAGTGTGCCAGGAAATTCTTGAAGGCAAATTTATCCCCTGTAGCTCTACCATTAAAGGAGTGTGCTTTTATTTTTCAGTGAGGTAGTCAAGACATGAGTGAGATTCAAAGTCTCCACAGAGTTCATAATCTCAAACTATCCAGCAATGACTGATAAATCCTGGTATACAGACATCCTAAACTCAAACTGATTTAGTCTCTGATCTTGTTTCCTCCCAGCTTCCTGTAGTCTCCAGACAAACTGTAGCTATCATATGCTAACACGTCTAGGTGGCATAACCACCTTTTAATAGTATCTGTGTTCCATGAACACATACTTCATCAGGTTGCTCAAAATCTTCAATCGCTCTATCTCCCTGCAAAGCTTTGACTTAAATCTGGTTTGTTGCCTGTGGCAAAAGAAATTTACTTAAGAAAAAGAGCATATGTGTTCTGCACAATATACCAAAGACAAAATAACCAAAATAGAAACAAGTCAGTTGCAGCTGTGGCCATAAATGCTTCTCAGATATGCTAATATTGTTTGTCCTCTCCAACTGTTAGCCAATGAAAAAAATTGTTCCATTTAAAAAACAGTTGATGTTCTCGAATTAAGAGAGTTGTTTGTTTTTATTTTGCTATCTCATCTGTTGGCTTGTGTGTTGGAATTTTGACATTGGACCTGCAATTCATCCCTGGATATTTGAGTTTGGACTAGTGATTTGTTTATTCTGTTGTGGAATTAAGCTGCTATATCAATTTTTGAACATTGCTGTAGCAACTTTTCGATAATTTTCACCTCTACTGACATAGTTTAGAATGTTTTTGTTGCAAAACGTTCCATTTTCATGCAGTTATTGGTAACAGGTGGTTACCCTCAGTCAACTGCCAATAGCAACTGAATGCAGTTGGTAGTTTAGAGTTGCAACAAAGTCTGTTGTTGCAGCTTATCACCGAGTAGACGCAGTTAACCATAAAGTTTACAAAAAGTCTATGCTCCAACAGAAGTAATAACCATTGTGTAGGTCTGCTCTCCTTCTCCTCCAGGACACACAATACTCATACCTACCGCTGCCACCTTTTATAGCTAACAAAGGGAGGGTTTCTATCATCCCCATGTCTATAAGACACGTGGTAATTTCCCTTATTTTTTCTTCTGGATTTTTACAATGTTACCATCAGTCAGCTGCCAGGTAAGCAAACATATATTAATTTTAACATTTCATAAACAAATTTTATAGTGTAAATTTTAATAGGATCAGGCTGTAACTGACTTACTGGTATTAAACATTTTAGTATTTGTAGTGTTTCTTCCAAGTCTGACATCAGCTTGAGTCATAAGACAAGTGTTATGTAGGAGAGGTTCAAATTCCTGACTTTGAGGCCAGCCTGACTTCCCAACTTGAACAGATATATTTGAGCACCAATGAGTACCTAAAAAAAAAAAAAAAATCAGAATTTACAACTCAAGAAATGAACCCTACACTCACATAACTGAATTAACTTAGCTATACCCACAAACTTTGCCAAACTGAAACTTATGACCAACAATTTGTTTAAATTAATTTATTGATTCCAAACAGAAAACACTTGGCTCCCAATGAAAGAATTTGATTCAGAGAACTCCAAGATGGGAGAAAATATACACTATACCCTGAGGGATTAAGGTTATAGCCATGCTGCTTCTGCATCTAGATGACAAAATGCTGGAAACCTTTTATCTTGCCCTCAAAGTTTTCTAGAAGTTTCTGGCCGATGTGCGTATGATGTCTGATTGACAAGTGGTCATGTCTTACGAAAGCATAGATCCAAAAGCTTTGAATTCTTTCATTGTTGAATTGTTTTTGGCAAGTACTTTGGCTTGAAGATGTACTTCTATCATAGATACCATCACTACATCTGTTTGTCACCAACTCGACAAGTTTCTATAGATCTAGTAATTGTGCTGACTTCCCTCTGTTGGCACTGCATGTCTTCTTCTGTCTCTATAGTATTTCTTTCTATCAGCACCATTCTCAGACATTCCCCTCATTGATTCTATATTCTCTTCCTGCTGCTCTGTTCCCATGTGCTTTGGCATAGGCAACAACAGGTAACTTCTTATGCGGTGTGTACAATGCATAAAATCTGCCCATAGCTTTATTTAGACAATTAGCAATAAGCGTGATTGACATGTCAGTAGGTTACAAGTAAATCTCACATAAACTAGTATTTAAAGTGACTTATTTTTCTCAACATGTCAACTTAAACTTTGCATTATCAACACTGTTTCAAGGTTCTCATAATTAGCAGCAAACATCAAAGTCAGTAATTGGTTGTTTGCAAAACTTGCTAAAGGTGTTTATTGTGAAATAGTCATTAATTGCCTTACAATAAAAAACTGTTTTTGATCATTTTTATTTTGAAATTATGCATCATTTTGTATTTTTTTTTTTTTTTTTTTTTTAATAAATTTTTACTTTTGAATGCTTTCCATATTTGTCTAGACTCAAATAAATCTGAAACCATATGGAACTTAGAGAAACATTATGAAAGACTTATTTCCCTTTGTTGCAATATGCCATTAGACAGATATTATCTCTCCAATAAACAAATAAATCCAATTTGACCTGATTTTGTCCTAGAAAAAATGGGATCAAGTTCTAAACTAAAATATAAGTACCAGCAGACATTTGGACATGATTTTGGATGAAAAAAACCTGGGTCTTATACACACAGAATTACAGTATATAAATAAATAAAACAAATCAAACTATTGGTAAAGTAGCAATCTTTAATCATCATGCCTGCAAAAAAAATGGTGTGTCAAAAGGAGTTTTTTTTCTTTCAATATTACTATTATTTTAACAAGCTTCACTCCTCGGCAATGTTTGTTTTAAAAAGCGATGATTAGAATTATAATAAAACCTAAACATATGATGAAAGTGAAATTATACATATTTTTGGTTCTCAAAAATTTACAACAAAAATATTAAACACTATTTATTAGATTGTTTATTTACAATAATTTTATATTTACAACATTCTAAAAATGAATACATTTATATTAAAACTAATGCAATATTTATCATTTACCAATTTATAAAGAAATAAATATGAAAACAATTTTTTTATTCATAAATTTATAAACATTTACTAAATTATTAAGATATGTTAACCAACTATAAGGAAATCCATATTATTTACTATTTTATAAAGGTGTATAAAGTTTGATGAAAGAGCAACTAAAGTTCTTTGTTACATATTTTTTATTTTTTCTATATTTTGGACATTTTTCCAGATTTTTGGAACATATTTAAATATAAATTGTCTGAGTATTTTTGCCTTTTATAAGCCACTACCAAAGAGTTTTGGGTTATGTAATTTTCATCACTTTCAAATATCTGTTTTTTTTGCGGTTTCACATGAGAATTGGCTATCAACATTTAAAAAAAAAAAAATACATCTAGTATGTGAGTTCATAAATCTGATAACATTTTGTTGATATTGATTTGTTTTTTATGCTTAAACATTTGTAGTTTCTAGCACTTGTAGACAATCTTTACAGTTTATAGGATATAGTATTTTTGTGTTGTTAGTAAGGACGTGTAAAATTTTTTTATGAAATCTGAAAATTAGAGTTGGTCTGTTTAGCAATTTATGTTTCAGTATTGGTTTCCAATATTTTTCCCATGATACCACAGTTTTCAATTCAGTTTTTAATTTAGTATTTTCGCTTTCTAAGAAAGCCATTTATTTTCTTGTGTAATGATAGCATTTCCAGTTGATATCTGATTTCGTTTGAGATTGATAAATTTGCAACTTAGTCTGATCAACTCGTAAACTCTTGTGCATTTCTGGTCCAATCTTAAAAATATTCATATGACTGGAAAGAAAATAATCTTTCTAAATATGTAATTTGTATGTGTTTTTATTCATTGAATTATATTTTTACAGCGAGTTAAAACGATATTTTGCTTCAAACAGCCAAAAATGCGAAAATACAATTTTTTTTTAGACTAAATTTTACACGTTACTTTGTTTTGCAAAATCAATGTGACCAATCTTTATCAATATTCTTGAAATTGTACATTCAATCTTCTAATTTAGAAGACACTTTAAGCTACAAGCAGGAAGATGTTATTTCTTCTCTGAACCATGAAAGCAAATTCCTTCAAAAATTATAAGGTAAGCAGCAAAAAAAAAAAATTAACTGACAGTATGTGTGGTAAAAGAACTTTCAAATTATTGAAACTTAATATCTTGTTGCATAAAATTAATGCCCCGTATACTTTTCAACTCTCAAGTGTTGTTTTTTGAAATGTCTGTCATTGTGGAAGTCTGTTAGCTGGTGTGTAAGGGGTCAATATTTGGTTTTAAAGGGCAATAAAAATTTATAGACATGCATTAAAGATCACTGGAATTGAAAACCTGAAAACCCGTGAATCAGAGTGAGTAATAAAGTAGGAATTGTTCACCTAAAGTCAGTTTTGAGGCTTTAAAGGTAATTTAGTCATAGAATTCATGACTTGGATTGAAGTTCATTAAACTTTCGAATAAATTGTCAACTATAAATAACTTCCATAATTATTAACAAATTGTTAAAATACGAAAGAAATCATTGCATAAAATATCTATATTTATGTCTTTGGATGACACATTTTTGAGAGAGAAAATAAAATGGTATAGCTCTCCAGAAATTAGTTTATGATGTGGCTTTTAAAAAGCCAAAAAAATGAAACCCCTCATGTTTAAAATTATTAAAAATACAGCAATTCTTTTCTGGTATGCCAGTCAACTATTATTGGGGATTTGCAAATTTCTTCTAAACAAGGAAAATCAATGAGTTATTTTCCCCCCCTAAATAAATGTTTTTATCTAGTGAATACCTAAAATTAAATATTAAAAATAATTAAAAGCTTTTAATTTCATTTTTATAATGTGTATATTTCCAAATCTGCGAATATCACCTATTCTTTACACATTTTAAAACTGAAATTAAAAACTATTTTATAATCTTTTTAATATATAATCTTAATTGTATTCACTAGATAAGACCATAAACATATTTGTAAAAATAAAATGAATTAACTTTCCTTGTTTAGAAGAATTTTATAGGCAGTTTTAATATAAAAAGCAGGCAGTAATATTTTGAAAAACACATTTTTAATTTAAATAGAAAATTAGGAAAAAGCATTTTTAAAACAGATAACCAACCTATATCTAAATAAGACATAATGCATGCTTTCTCAAGCTGGAATACAGCTTCCATGGTCCCAGACCGATCCTTGCTGTCAGATAACCATTTCTTAAAACAGCCATCTTTTAAGAGATTCTGAACTGAATGTACATCATCCTACAAATAAAAAATATAAAGAATGAAAATATTCAAAGAGTCATCTCATCTCTAGAATATTGTGTTGATTTCACTAATAACGATACTTTCATTACAGGTGAATTCACAGTTTACGATCCGATAATCTTTATTCTTTTTTATCACAACGTGAAAGCGTAATCCCAACATAAACTTATTTCAATTTCATAATCCATAGTAAAATGAAATATTTTTTATTTATTCTTTTGTATCTCATATTTTTGTCCAAAACGGCCACAACTGTTTTTCCCCTTCACAAGATGTCGTCTTCACTTGTTAACAAAATTACTTTTCCTCTAACAAAAAAACAGCAACATTGGTCTCCTCGGGCTGGAGGTAAGATAGTCTGGTTGACTTTTACTAGTGATGATTTTCTAAGCGTAGCTTAGATGTGGCACAAGGCCAAAAGTGTGGAGTATCCAGCAAGGATCAAACTCACTACTCAGTCATAATTGATCTCTAGCGAGACAAGCTTGCTAACCATTACACCGCGTCGAAGTGCCCTATTAGCATTGGTTATTGGCCAGACAGAGTTTACTGATTTGTTTGCATTAGGAAGAATAACGTGTATTAGCCTTCCAGTAGCACGCCGATACTAATATTAGCATTAGCGTAGCCATTGACACACTAACACTGAATGCGAATATAGAAAGACGAAATACGTGACCGTAACAAACAAAACATTTAATAAGGCAAACAACTTACATACATATATTAAAGAGATTTACATATGTCCCAAAACAAATGATTGTTCATGCTGTCCAAAAGAACAAGGATGTTTACAGAACAAGAACAAAGAAATAACATACCAGTTATATGGCCTTTGATAGTTCACAGATAAGTGAATAGAAATTACTTTTTTTCTTTTGCTAGGCCGTGCACATGTTGACCAGTTTCTACGTATGTGGATGCCCTGGTGGTCAGGATGGTAAAGAGACCGTTCCTCAAAAAACAGAAGCAAGAACTAAAAAGGGACAGAAGAGTTCTCCTCTCTAAAGGGGACAAACTCCCATGAGCTCAGCCCAAGGGAAAACAACTGTGATCTCCCTACAAGTACCCCCTCCATAGACAGGTTCATTAACCTGCACCAGAGGTACTACTAAAATGTAACAAAAACAAAACTTCACAATATGTATTACAAATTTAAAGAAAAATGGTTTTGTAATCAAATGAAAAAGGAAGAATTCGGTGTGGAGGGAGAAATATCCTCCAGTTATGGTTCTGCTGAAACCAAAACCTGAAAATGAATTATGTCATTAAATGTTTGTGCCATCTAACACGACGGCCAGATCTGGTCACAGTCTCTTTTACTACCTCCGGTGCTACTGGTGATGGAGGAGTCACTGGAGTGTCCATGCTGAGCCAGGTAGTGACCAAAAAGGCAGGCTTTAATCTGTCCATAGTAATGTTTTGTGCTGCATTGTTAATGCTCACCTTAAAATATTTCCAATATCTCTCAAGGACTTTGAAAGGTCCTCTGTAGGCTGGCTGCAATGTGTGGGACTTAGCCAAGTCCCGCACAAAAACATGTGTGCATGTCTGCAGTAGTTTAGGCACATATATCTGCCTTTGAACCTGTGCAGAAGACTTATATGCTAAGTTTGCCATTCTCACGGTAAGCCGATCAACGAACGAGGTCAAGTTCAAAACTTTTTGTGGAGGTTGCAGGAAAAACTGTCCTGGGAGTCTGAGTGTGGTGCCATAAACTATCTCAGCAGATGAACATTTAAGATCGTCTTTAACCACAGTGCAGAGTCCCAGAAGAACCAACGGTAGATGCTCCAGCCAATTTGCCTGATCCGTCACGGCCCTTAATGCTGACTTAAGTGTACGATGTAAAGAAATGTAATTTTTTTTTTTTTTGGTAAGTGTAGTTTTATTTATAAAAACAAATTAAATAATACAACAGAACCTTTTCTCCGTTTTGAATAGCAAAAAAAAAAAATTACATTTCTTTACGGTAGTGCGTAGTGATTTTCTGCAAGGAAAGACTGTAAAAGAAGTAAATAGGCCAATTTTTCTGATTACGCCTGCGTAGGTACTACGCAGTAAATTAGTAAACATGATGGCAGTAATGGAGGACGAATGGCCAACAAGAAGTCCGATTTTTTCTTGCCAATAACTCCAAAATTATGAAGGTTTCTTCATAATTTAATTGTCAATTCGAGTTCAGCATGTACATTTGCACGGAATTATGACGATTTTGGAAAATTTTTAAGGGATATTAGCGCACAGGAAACAAAACCAAAATTTACCAAGCTTATAAATAAATAACATTGTTAGTGATATCATGACATTCCAATCGAAACTAATTTTTTGGAGAAGTACTTTAACTTTTTTCTTTTTTAATTTTATTCTCAAATGGTCAGCAACTTACTTGTGTAAACTGAAAACAAAATTATTTGTAAAACCAAATTTGATCGTGCAAAGATCACGCCTCCTCTGAAACAAGTGACAATACGGCAAAATAAAAAAAATAACTTAAACTAAAAAGAGGATAATGTCTAAGTCTCAAACAAGGACATTTTTACTTTTTTACTAATTTTAAGAAGTTCACTTTTTTTGTGTTGTAATAAAAGTTTTGTTTTCCTTAAGCTTCAAGGCTGACACATACGCACAAAAACCGCAAACTAACATTTGAAATAACCATTGAAAGATAATTTTAAATATCCGAGACAAGTTTATATATGTAATTCGTAAAAATTTGTGATTCGAATGAAAATAAAAAACATACCTGTGAACTGAAACTCACAACATATTTCAACGCAACAGGACGCGCCATTTTTAATTTCCGCGCTATATAGGGAGTGTTTTGTAATAAGTGAAGGACTGCACTGGAGCCAGGGAGCAATCCTTGCTTGATTGTTCAAGAAGTTTTAAAAGAATTACAAAATCATTTTTTTTTATTTATGTAGTCAAGGAGGAAAAATGTGTTTATTATCAAAGGACTAGTAGATTGAGCAAATTTCACCTTCGATACTGCTATAAATCAAAAAGTTTAGGTAGTTTTAGCATTTCAAACGATTTTATTTTATTTTATTTTTACATCAAACAAAAACTTGACATTACGAATTCGAAATAAAAAGAAAATAGCATTCAAAATGCAATAATAGATAAATTTCAGTTATTTTTTAAGTAAACAATGAAATTTTTAATTCATTTCATTTTTGTACAAACTAAACAGAATTTGGCGGGAAGAATAAATTGCCTCGTTTTTAAATTCTAAAAATGTTTTTCATATGGGTATTTATTTATCAATGTGCCCACTCACACAAAATGTGACACAAAGTCGAATTTAAAGGGGATCTGGTAAGTGTACAAAAACTGGGTAATGACCCTAGGGCCTAGCCCCTTTCTAAAGGAGATAACTCGGGGTATTAGGACGGCATCCCTTAGGCGCGTCCAATGTAAGGGAGATAATTCAATGTTTTTTAATATAAAAAACATTGAAATCGAAAATACCCCAATTTTTTTTTTTTTACAGCGAGTTTCACCCTTTACAAGGGGTGGGTCTCACTCGAGGTAGAGGGTTTCGTTTGGAGGCCATTTGTGAATACTATACAGCAGTGGAAGACGCTTAACCCTAGCCTTGAACAGGCTGTGTAGTGATCGGGGAAACATTTAGTTTCACAGGGCAGTGGTTTTTTGCGAGAAGAAAATACTTGAGTGGAACTTTTACTTCTCACCGATTGAATACAAAAGGCGTGTGGATGGTTTTCTATGTACGTGGCATGGCGTGTTCTTACTGAGAATGTTTGCCTCGGCAGGACTAGAGATTAGAGAATGTAGTTCGTCTGAGCACTTTCAGTGGAAGTAGCGATAGAGCAGCGAGAGGCTTGCTACATCGCGCCTGTAGGAGAGAGGTTGAAGGGTGGAGAATAATTCGTCATCCACAAGAGCTCGAGAACGCTTTTGAATTCTATCAAGGCTGTAGAGTGAGGTCTGGGCAGCTCCTGCCCAAATATGACAACAGTACTCCCTCTAGATCATGTAGTAAACTAAAAAGGTATAGCAGGAGGAGTCTGGAACGGTACAGAGAGCCGACCATTTTACCTGCATCATTAGCAATGGATCGTACGGCTGTGGATGTTTCCATAGTGGTTTTATAGACAAGCGTATGGTTGAAAGAAAGAAATACGACAACAGTAGAAATAGATTTACGTGGTTTATTTCAACAGGAACGTGAGGGTTTGGGATAGCTACCTTGTGGTAAAGTTCATAAGCCGGCTTTCGGATCTGGTCGATCTCTCATAGTAGTTCACACATGTTGACGGTGGTTGACGCTCCCCGGCTGCTGATCGCTCGGCCTGACCGTCAGGTCTATTCGCTGGCCACCTGTTGACTGCCTTTGAACTTCCGTGTGACCCCTTTTATAGTGTTTGTTTTTATGGCTTAACAGGCTCGAGAAACGAAGCGAGTATAATTAGGAGGGAAGCATTTTTATTGGACGAAAAATAGAGCACTTTAAATATTATTTTATTTTTCGACCGGAACACGTGTGTCGGGAACATTTGTAAAGAAAGATAATGGTCATTTTGTGACGGGGCTTTGTCCCGTTCACATCCGGTTCTCGCTCTTAAGTATTTGCCTGTAAATCAGCCGAGATATGTCTTATTTTATTTTATAACAGTGGTTATGGGTTTACAGGCGGTTATCTTCAGATAACGTCCTTAATCCAAATATACACCAACTTTTTGATTTTTAATACAAAGATATATATCGCATGTACTGATCAAATATTATATATCTTAAAATACAATATTCAAAGAGTTCATAAGTTCATATCAGAAGGTTTTCATGTTGAAGTCCTTTAGTAGAGGGAGTCCTCGTAGATGTGTATGTATATATGTAAGCATCTCTTGATAGTAGTAAACCTTTTGACTCTCTGTGGGATTATTTTTTGTCCAAAAATGTAGGCATGGGAGAATGGATGAAATTCATTTCATCAACTCTCTTTTGCTTTGTCTGGCCCTCTCTGAGTTTATCCTTTTTTTGAAACAGAGGAATTCATTTCATCATTGTCTCTTGATTGGTTCACAGGACTCATTTGACCATCCCTTTTCTTCACTTACATTTAAGAATGATGACCTTTTGGCCTCTTATTTATTTTCTTTTTTTCTTATCTTTTTGTTTTTACTTTTTTTACTTTCAAACATTTCTTGAAATCTGATTGGTTATTAAATGCACAGTAAGCTTCTAGAAACTTTCATCGCAAATCAGTCGATTTTTGTGCAAAAGTAGGCTCAACCTACTTGAAAAACTCTTTCTCTAATTTACCCCTAACTTGAATGTCTCATACAATTCTTGTGGTTAAAAAATAAATAAATACTATCTCGCCCAAGCATTTCTTGGAATTAGCGGCAGCGCCTACTGAATTTCCGGTGAGCCAGTTTAATTATTGAAAAAGTTATAAATACGAACAGCAATCAAGTTTCTACGCACAGAGATATTCAGATGCTCAGAGAGACACCGAGATTTTAATTTATTTTAATTTTATGCTGATCAGAGACTACCTTTTGGAACAAACTTCTTTTCTGAAAGTTTTGGAAAAATACTCTACACCACAATTCACCAACATTTTCAACAACTCATTGTGACAAAACCTTTTTCCACTAGAATATCTTTCTCAGAAAATGTTTGTCTAATTTAATTTTTACTAATCATGACTTTTCTAGTTAAAGGTAGACAACTTTCACTTACTTAAAAATTGTAAATTTAAAATTTATGCTGCAACAGTATTTTAAATTTAAAATTAATATTTTATTCTCAAACTTTCATACACTGAACTATTAATCAATAATGTTCAGAACTTTCTGCATTTAACATTCCAAACCAGCAATGAGAACCTTTTCTCCTAAATATTATCTAATCAATTTTATGCACACGTCATTACAACACAAATTGTAAAATTCTGTGCATAAAAATTTTATTTGTTGTTCCAAGCCTATTCTTTTGTCATAATTGCATATCGTTACCTATTGATTTTTTTTTTAAATTTGTTTGTGGATGTTACATGTTTCATTTGCAGCGAAACACTTCACGCAGCTTTCTCAGATCAACTACACTTCTTTATAGCAAACCAAAATGGTCTGCAAACTTTTAATTTTCTATTTTTTTTTAAATGGTGAACTTTTTATTTTTCTATCACTACAAGACCCAACAGTCTTTCAAGACATGGTGCTTCCCCAGGAGGACTTCTGTTCGTCCGGATTGATGGTAGTTTGGGGTCAGATTAGTGATGATAGAATGTAACTAGCTAGCTTGGTCTTCAAGGTATTGAAATTGAATGTAATTAGCCAGTTTTTACCGCATTGGGTAGTTTGTGCAAGATCAGAAAAGACATCAGTTGCTAATCTCTGACCATCGAGAGTTTTAGAGGTGCACTCATCTATAGTTGTATCATCGGCATAAATGTTTTTACAAATGATCTCGGTATATTCTTAGGTAGATCATTTATGTAGATCAAAAAAAGGGTTGGTCCAAGGAGGGACCTCTGGGGAATGCTTGCATTGATCTCTAGGGCCCCAGAGGACTGGCCATTGATAACTACCTTCAGACACCTACCTGTTAGGAAGGATTTTATGATTTTCAAACAAAATAAAATTGAATAAAAAATTAAATTCAGATTATTTACAGTATGGAATTAACACACTAATTCCATCTACATTTTACGCGCGTTTATATTTCCTCCCTTCCTTCCACACTCGTGCGTGTGTGTGGTTTTTGCACCCCATTCCTCTCTCTTACAGCTAGACGTTCAGTAAACATCCTTTAACTAGTGAAGAAGGTCGCTTGCTATAGCTCCTGCTGATAAAGTCAGTCTAACAGATTTTGAATTTTTTCCCGCGCGTTTCCTGGCGTCTCAAATGAACAGCGTTTGCAAGCCAGTTGCTTCCTGATCTTCAACCTAACTAGACGGGCAACTTATTTATTCCGTGCCCTTAACCCAAAAAATCTTGGGGCAATATCTTATTTCAACATGTCGACCTCACACTTTCCCAAGACTTCTTCTCGTCTTGATGTTACCCGTTCAATGTCAGACTTTTCTCCGTTTTCGGCTAGAAAACGTCGAGATATACACAGTCGTGGGCAGAATTTCGTATCAACAAGTGACTTATTTTTATCCCTCGTCAGTCAACCATAATACAGGCAGGGATATCTTATGACCTCCGTTTTCGGCTAGAAAACGTCGAGACACAGTCATGGGCAGAACTTCGTATCAACAAGTGACTTATTTTTACCCCTCGTCAGTCAACCATAATACTGACAGGGATATCTTATTGACCGAATAATTACTTCGACCCTCTTGATTCGTCATAAGCAATTTCACCAAGACGATGCAACTCACTACAAATAATTCTTCGTCTCTCTTGACTCGCCATAAGTAATTTCACCAAGACGATGCAACCAACTGCAAATAATTCTTCGACCTTTTGGCTAGACGTCCACATCAATCTGATAAAATTCTCAGCAGTTAATTCAATGTCCTTAAGTTAACGACTGGTTACATTTCCCTTTTGACCAAAAACTCTGAGACGACTGAACTTTCTAACTACTTTGAACCTGAACCTAAAAAAATATCACACACACTCACAATACCAAAATCCACAGTGAGTACTCTTTTTATCTGTGCACACCTACACCTCGTGTTAACGAGTCCTTTTTCCAGAACCTTCTTTCATTCTGATGAAACCTTTTTCCCGCCTTGTCCATCTTGCTTTCCAGTTTTGGCGCGAAGCATTTTCTCTGATCTCGAATGACGAGACAACCTACTTGTTTTCA